CATATGGAAGAATTAAAACATTTAATAAAAACATTAATTAATGATGTACAAGAAATTAAGAATGAAATAAAAGAAGTTAGAAATGATATAAATATATTAAAACTTGAAGCCAGAAAATTAAAAGAAAATGAAGAAAAAAATAATAGAGTAGATAAAAAATTTATAGAAAAAGAAATAACCAGAATAGGGAAAAAACATATTGAAAGGAAAAACATAATAATAGAAACAGGAAGTATGGATGATGAGTTTAGGAAAAATATATTACCTAAAATAATAGAAGAAGAGGAATCTAGAGAAAAAATATTAGGTAAACAAAAAATTGAAGAAAATCAAGACAAAGAAGATGAATGAAAAATTAGATCTACTTATAGATAATTTTGATCATTTAAGTTTAGAAAGTATAGATGATGAATACCAAATCTTAATGAATACTGGAGGAGGACCTAATCCCATAGGAACCTCTAAACAAGAATCAATAGATTCAGATGAAAGTTATGCTCCAATGTATAATAAACCATATAAGTAATTTTATGAAAAAATAAGATATAAACAACCGTCCAAAGGAAATAAATATAGTAATAGATTTGAATTAAATAATAATTATGATAAGCCTGTTAATCATGAAGGAACAAAATTAGACTTAGATTGCAAAATAGATACTAAGAAAGCCTTAATAACTTGGGCAGACTCAATGATATTATTCTTTTTATATAATAAAGATGATACATGGGAAAATACTGAAAGGAGAATATATTTTTTAATTGCATCTTTTGAAGGAAATGTTAGAAATTGATGGGAAGGAATTAATAGTGATACAAAATCATTAATAAAAAGAAATGTACAAACAGAAATAATAAAGTCAGATAAACTAGGAATAGAAAGATTAGTAGAATATATTGCAATGAATTCTTAGGAGAAAATTGGTTAAGAAATTATGAAGAAGAAGCAATACGAGAAAAAAATAATGCAAGAGTTAAGTTAATTAATCTAACAATTTGTGATATGTGTAAAATTAAAGAATATACTTGTGAATTCAAGGAATATTATTATACTCAATTTTATAGTAATGAGAATCAAGAAGTATATCAAGATATGTAATATAATAAATTACCAGGTTCATGGGGAATATATTTTAAAATGGAATTTGAAAAATATATTAAAGAAAATATAGGAATACCTAAAACACTAGGATCAAGAATAAAATTCTTGTTTAAAAGACTTGCATATATATGTCAACAAAGACAATTATTGAAAAAAATCAGGAAAATTAACTAGAATATGTTGTGAAGATATGGAAAAACCCACAAGATGGGGATGTAATCCTGAAAAAAGGAATAAAAGAAAATATAAAAACAGGAAGTTTAAAAAATATAAAAACTTTAATAAAAAATATATAAAACCTTGAAGGAAATATTATGAAAGGAAAAATAATATACAGAAAAATAAACATTATAAGAAAGATAAAAAAACAATGTAAGTGTTGGAATTGTGGAGAAATAGATCATATAAGTCCTGATTGCACAAAGAAAAAAGTGAGAATATTACAAAATGATTATTTTGAAATAGAAAACGAATTAAGTGAAATATCTAATATTGAAAATTATAATAATCAAAAAATATTTATAAGTGAAGTAGATTTAGAAGATTATGGATCAGAATCTGAATAGAGAAATTGAAGAAATAGAAAATAATAACATAGAAATCCAAGAATATGAGGAAATAGAAGGTTATGGATTAAAAGTAACTTTTGCTAATAATAAATTTAAGAAAATACAAAAGTTATCCTTAGATTTGAAAATAGGAAAATGGGAAATTCTAGATAGAATATGGAGAAGAGAAAGAATAACAATAAATGAATACCATAAGATTGAAAAAACTATAGATGTTAAAACTACTCAAGGAACACATAAAATAAACCTTTTAACAAAAAATACAGTATCAGAATTATTATCAAAAATAAGTAAAAAACATAGTGAAAGGATCCAATATGTTTATTTAGTAGGAATACAAATAATGTTTAAATCTTTATTTAGAGAAGGAATAAATTCACCATTAACTGTAAGTTTACATGATGGAAGAATTATAAATCTTGAAGATGGTCATTTAGGAACTATAGAAGGAAATTTAGCATATCAAAAGTTAATATTTACTTGTTACCCAAAATATTGTGTCTCATTGAAAGATAAAAACTTTAATGAAGTTTTAGGATTACATTTCAAATTAAATAGAAATGATATAATGGAACCAGA